GAGTGCTGGCTGCTGCTCTCTGCGGAGGAGCTCTTATCTTCACTGTCACTTGGGTATCACCTCCTGGGTTTTGGTGGAGACTTTTTAGCGTTTGGCACCAGCCCCTTGTGCTTTCTGGCACAGACCTTCAGTGTTCCATTACAAGCCCCTTGGCCTTCTGATGTGGACTCATATAGGCTATTGCCTTTGCCTGGATTTTTCAGAATTCCACGGTACAGACAGATCTCTTGTGCTCTTCTGCATGTGACTTTTGGAGTGAAATGATTAAAATATTATACACATTATATGTTCAATATTAAATCTATTTCCTTGCCAACCACTGACTTTAGTAAAGCCTGACTACAACAGAGTGGTTTCAGACAAGAGGAAAATGCAGACAGGTCGGTGTTGTCCAACAACCAGATGATTTCTTCCTCAGGAGGATGGGAAAGGTGTTTTGGGGGTAATCCCTGCATACAGAAGTCAGGAGCAGTGAAAGGTATTCCTGCATTTTTCAGATAAGGCTCTGGGAAGTGAAGTAATTTACCCAGAGTCATAAGACAGAGCATAGAAAACCTACAATTCAAACCCAAGTGCTCTCACTTCCAAATGCCAAGTCCTTGTGTTTTTCCCCCCTCTTTATTAGTTATCTTCTTATAATTGTTTCCTAGATTTCCCTTTTAACTAGAAAGTACTCAAAGATCTGATCAATGTCACTTAGGTACCCTGTAGAAGTTTCTCAGGTAAAAAAAAAAAAAAAACAAAACAAAAAACTTGAAGTCACCCATGTCCAAAGAGAAAAGTGGATGTGTGATCAACCCAAAGCTGGCTTGGTCTCTTGGTGTCCAAGGGCTACAGGCCACATCCAGGATGGGGCATGTCTTCTGAAGCCTTCCATTAGTGTCCACATCTGTGCGACCTTCTCCTTGAACATTTGGAAAGTGTTATGGTTCATACCTAGATGTCCCCTAAGGGCCTCATGCACTCAGGTGGTCCTTTGGATGGTGATTGGATTATGGGGCTTACAGCTGGTTGTTAGGAGGTGCAGTCTGACTGGAAGAGGCAGTCACTGGGGGCGTGATCTGGGATTATTTCCCTTCCTGGGTCTTCCCTTGTCTCTGTTTCCTGGATGCCCTGAGATGAGCAGCTCTCCTCTGCCTAGCCCTTCCACCGTGCCCTTGTACCTTGGAGCTAACTCACTGTGGACTGAAACCTCTATACACTGTGAGGCAAAACAAACCTCTTTTTAAAGTTGTGGGTGCTTGGTGTCATGTCTCAGTGACAAGAAAGAGAGTTGAGGACCACCCTGTAGAGTAAGCGGTGCCAGTCATGAGTCCCAACTCCAGAGAGCCTTTCCTATGCGAGGCAGCTGTCCTTAGAGCGAGGCCCTCAGGGTGCTCTGAGCTATGCGCATGTGACTGAGCCTCTGCTCTCACTGAGTTTGGCACACCTGAAGATGTATTTGGAGCAGATTACAGGAAACTCTTGGGGAAACAGAAGTGGGTTGCTCTTTCCCAAGACCATTGCTGACAGCAGGAAACACTAAGCACTGAGAACCAGTTAGTTAACTTTGGTGTCTCACTGAGAATGCACACACGATTTGTCTGCCCATGTGACAATCAACAAATCAAATGTCTTAAGACAATTTCCTAAGTCAATGTCCTTGTGGTGATCACCTGAGATGACTGGCGGAATTCACACATATAATGTCCCACCGATTTTGCTCTTTCATACTCTATCTCTTGAATCTTAGTCATACAGACACAGGTTCACAAAAGAACACTTGTGAGTCCAGAACCTGTTTGTCCCTGTGTTGAGACTCTTGATGAGTGGCTCTATATTCTCTTGCACATGCTGCTTCCTTGGGTTTTGACTGCTTACTAATCACACCATTCTGAAGGGATGTTGTTTCTTGATCTGCAAAGTGGATTGACTAAGTGGCAGGGGTCTCCTTTCTTCCTGCACACTTCTTTGAACTTTTCAGAGTGGAATGCCTTCCCAGACTGACAAAGACACGCCAGATGTTACAAGCTGCTGCCAGAACCTGCGAACTTGCACACCCTTTCCCAGTCTTTAGGAGAACACCTAGAAACGAGGCGAATACCTCCACTCTCTCTAAGTCACTGTTGAGAGGAAAGCATGTATCACGTGCCTGTGGCCACTGGACACTCTCTTCACTGCAAACCTGATGAAGAGTCCTTCTTGACATTTTTTCTGGCTGGATTCAGGGCATCTAGTGTGCCTCCTTCTTTGGAGAATGAGGACATTGTCAGATGCGATCCTCCCAGGAGGTGGTGAGGACAGCAAAAAAGAGATGGGGCAACAAAAGAACACAAGGCTAGGAATTCATCACTATCAAAGATACAGACCCAGGCAGTTGGAGGTGGGTTATCTGGAGGGAATCAACGGCCAAACAGGAAGAGAGGACCAGGAGACCATCAATTTGTAGGAAACAGACCAAGAAAATGCTGACTAGGAAAAAAAAAGAAAATGGGAATGAGGTAACAGAGAAAGATAGGGAGGGAAGACAATTGTTGTACATATTAGTTCCCCAGGATTACAAGAACAGACGACAACAAACTTTGTGACTTTAAAAAACAGAAATTTATTTCTCACAGTCCTGGATGGCAGAAGTCTGAGATCAAAGTGCAGGTAGAGACATACTTCCTTCAGAAGCTCCAGAGGGAGACTCCTCTTTTGCCTCTTTCAGCTTCTGGTGGCTGTCAGCATTTCTGTACAGCTGACAGTATCTTTCTGAGAAGCTCTGTTATCTGTGTATCTCTTAAAATGACACTGTTACTGGATTTAGGGCCTGCATAGGTGACCCAGGGTCATCTGCTCATTACAAGACCTTTGATTAAATCTGCAAAGACCTGTTTTCCCAATATGTTAACTGGTTCTAGGAATCTGGATGTGGACATGGAGCTCGAGGGGCCAAAGTTTGGTTTATTATTATTTCAAACGTAGGAGAAATCCAAAGTAGGATTAAATAAACCTCAGGTGAGGGGAAAAGACCTTTCCTTGTGACTTTTCTAGGGGTTTTATGTACTTGTGGTCACTTGTGGCTTTACAGTCTGATGTTCTGAGTTCGTTTGGATCTCAACTGCACAATCTTCTGTTCTTACAGATTTGTACAGAAAATTTTAAGATGTTTGACCTTGGTTTTCTATTCCAAAACTCCATTGCACCCAACACCATTCACAAGAGTCTCTGTGTAGCTCAGCCTCTTTCCCACTCAAAATCTCTTTCAACTATCCACTTTCTACTTTTCTGGGCCCTCTTTAGGTTCTGGCTTCTCCTTTCACCTAATGCAATTCTGTCACTTCATTATGCTCAGCAATTTAACTCTCCTCCTACTCTGTCTCTGCCTTACTTTGATAGCCCCAGACTCATTAACAAACCCATAAAACAAAGAATCCATAGTAGGGGTTTTGTAATTTGTTTCTCTTTCTCTTATCCTCCAAGCAAGGTAGAAGAAAGCTGTATGGAAATGTACATTCCTCATGCAGAGAAGATGAAATGGTTACAATCTGAATTTTCAACCTTCCTCCTTTCTGATATATGAATATATTTAACATCTGCAGTCTATGTTCACAAAGTTAGTTCTTTCCATGATTCCGTAAAAGAATTAAATTCATGAACTGAGGCAATACTGTATTTCTCATAAGTTTATTTTTTTTAACACAGTGGTTCTCAAATTCTGATCTCAGAATTGCTTTATACTTGAAAAAAGTTACTCAAGACCCTAAATAATTTTTGTTTATATGGATTTTACTTATCAGTACTTACCATATTGAAATAAAACAAAAAGCTGAGAAGTATCTATTATTTAAAAATAAACACGGATAAGTATTCTGTAAGTCTAGTACGTGCATAATAGCATCAATGACATATTTTTATAAAAAATACATTTTCCCAAACATCACCAAAACTGGTAAGAAGAATGACATTTATATTGTTTTGTCTCTTGTAAGTCAAGCTTAATAGAAGACAGCTGCTTCACATTTAGTCTGTTGTAAAATCAGTCTCTGGAAAACTCAACCACACAACACAAAAGAAACTGAGAGTGAAGAGGCAAATTGCATCTTAGTGCGAAAAAAGTTTCGAAAGTAACTTTTTATCTCGCTGACCACTGTTCTATTACCATTATAGTTATGTCTCTTTAACAAAAAAAAAAAAAAAAAAGTGTGTGTGTGTGTGTGTGTGTGTGTGTGTGTGGTCGGTGAAAACTTGGTCTCGATACGATTCTGACTCAAAACTGAAGCACGATCCAAAAAATGCAGAAAAGCCTCGTTGCTGACTTGTAGTCAATTTAAATAATTATGGCTCAAGCTGGTACATTTGAAAAAACAAACGCCGAACAATAGAGCAACGTGGTTTCCACATTTGTCAGCATCTGATAAATTCCTATTCCTGCCCTAACCTCGCTGTGCTCCGAGACACCTTCTCGGGCTCTTCTCCACGCTAAGCACTAATAAGACCGATAAAGATCACATTTATCAAAGGAAACTAACACTCACTGAGCACTCACTAGCCGGCAGGCCCCGTGAGGACACTTCACACATGCGCCTTCTGATGGAGCCCTTGGTGAACTCCGAGGAAAAAGCCGGCTTCCCTTTGCAGGAGTCGCTGAGGTCAGAAATGAAGGCCTCTGGCCTCTGGTTCTGTTCATCACGTTTGGGGAATCCAGATGGGCCGCGTCCACTGTCCTCGTCCTCCTCAAGGAGAGTCCTCGAAGTCCAAGGTGAAGAGTGGTGGCCTCCTCATCCCTGCCACCAAGCGCCCCGGCCCAGTCTGAGTGAGAGCAGGAGCAAGGGAGCAAGCCTGTCGTCGTTCTGTCCTCCTGTCCCCAGGTACACAGGAGCTCGCGTGTGGTTTGCTGTGGGCCGAGGTTTGCTAGGGGAAGAAAAGGGCGCCCCACAAGCTGGCCGAAGGCGGAACCTTTTTCTCTTACTGCGGTACCTTGGCAAAGGCCGGAACCTTTCTTCTCCTTCCGCCGCTGCCAGGCGGAGGTGTGCTCAGACAGAACAGTCCTCCGGCGCTGGGTCCGCGCCGCGGTCGCCGGCTGCTGACGTGAGCCGGCAAAGTGTGGGGCTGTGGCGACTGGTCGCTATGGCGGTGGACATCACTCTGCTGTTTCGGGCTAGTGTCAAGACTGTGAAGACACGGAACAAGGTGCTGGGCGTGGCGGTGGGTGGCGGAGTCGATGGCAATCGCGACGAGCTGTTCCGCCGGAGCCCCCGGCCCAAGGGCGACTTCTCCAGCCGGGCCCGAGAAGTGGTGAGCTGGTTGCTATGGGAACGGGGTGCTAGCGAGTGGGGCGGGTCCGCGACCCGCACCCCGGGCCCCACACGAGACCCTGGCCGTGAGCATGGTGTGAATGAAGGACGTCGTCTAAGAGGAGGGAGCCCCGGATTTGGCCTCAGAGCCAGCAGCTGACTAGGAAACGGGAGAGGTTTATTTTGAGGAAGGGGGACGCGTGTTGGGAAAGTGGAACGCAGATTTCTTCTGATGGGAAGGAGGCGCTCGGAACTCTTCCGCAAAGTTCATGGGTTACTTTGTTAGGCAGTGACTTTGCCGTGGTCGCTGCAGACTTGGCCCCGGGATAACCCAGCCTCTTACTTACTGTCGCGTCGCTGACTGCACTACCTTTGTGCTTTCGGTTCACTTGTGTGCCCGCTTCACGTCAACCTTGAGCTCAGAATCCAGATTCCCCTGAACTCTCCCTTCCTTTTGCCTTCCCAGGCAAAATAGGGCACTGAGTACTTGTGCAGCGGGTTGAAGATAACTTTTCACATTGCGTGCATTAAAATCCCCTAAATTGCTTTTAGTTCCATGAAGACATCAGGCTTTGGTTCATCTCTTCCTGAAGGCCAAGGCAGTATTGGCTTCACATGACTCATAGCATTGCTTGGTAAACCGTTATTCACGAATGAACGAACAAATATGGTTGTCTGTTTGCCACCCTAAGCACGTGAAGCCATGAGGGACAGAGATGTTTGCCTGCCATATTTTTGTGTCTTAGGCACTAAGAGTAGTAATTTCTGTGGGGCATAAAGCTTACACAGGTCAGTCACCTCTTCTTAAGAAATGGAGGTACAAAATCAAATACAGAAAAAAAGGTTCAGAACTTCATAAGACTGAAGTGAGGATCTCCTGAGGTTTAAGCTTCATTAATTAGCTTCACAGTAAATCTACTTCTGCTGGACACACAGTACAATGACTGGCACTTTTTAGACACTCATATTTTTGAATGAATATATGTATGGATGAATTAATAAATAGCTATTTGCAGAGAATATTCAAGCACCTGAAAGGGAATCAGACAAAAACAGTCCACTGATAAACATCTATTTAAGTACCCACCTTTTAATTGTTATGGTCTTATCATAACACAATGTGAAATTATTGGTGGAGGAGAAAGAAATAAATGAAAGTAATTCATCAAGCCTCTCGGGTGATGTGTAGAGTACAAAGAAAAATGTAGTCATTTCTAGCTGAGGGTCTGGAAAGGCTTTATAGCAGTCAAGATGCCTGCAATAAATCCTGGAAGATGACTCGATGGTTCTAGTCTGGATAAAATGGAGAGGGCCATCTCAGGCTAAGAGATTAGTATGCACAAAAGTGGATAGCAGTCTGAATTAAATTGGTTTAGGAAACTTCTGGCTGGCTGGAGTGGGAGACACTCAGCAAAGCAGGAGTGAAATGTGAGGCCCTGGGAGCTCTTGCAGGTCCTTGTGTAGCATGAATTTTGAACTCTCCCTTGTAGGCAGATGTCCCGTGGTTTGTGGAAGGACTAGAAAAGCTCAAGAAATTCCATTGTTGTGTCAACCCTGCAGCTGTAATTATGCTGGTTAATAAAGCCAGTGCTTCCACCTCAGTTTACCTGTAAAATGATCCCCTTTTTTTTTATCAAACAGAAGAGTTTTACAAAACTGCATCACATATTTATATATTTGTATGTATATATATATGTATATAATCAAAAAGAGATCTTAGGTGGAAATACGAGAAAAGAATATTATGAATTTCCTTTTTTTGTAACCTCAGTTTGGTCCAAGCTGAACTTCCTTTTATAGAAACCTTGGTATGAAAGTCACAGTTGGTTTTTGGAGGGCCATTTTGGGAATCATTGATTTATTAACACTATGCCCATTTGGGGTTGAGCTCAAGGATAGGGATTTGAGGATGGTAGCAATGAGAAGCAAGATTTGGTTGGCAAGCAAACCGGTTTAGGCTGTTTTGAAGTAGCAGGCCTCATGATCGTAGCAAGACTCTGGGCTGCTGAGTTCCCTGTCCTTGGAGGTCATTACAAAAGGGTAACTACTTGTCTAAAGTGTTTGAGAAAAACTGTGTATCTGTTAGATTAAACTGCTTGTCACTGAGTCCCAGTTCTGCTGTTTAATGATTCAGGAGGCTGTCAAGGCTTTGCCGTGTGACTAAATAGGGACATGGATGTTGTGTGGAGCTGCAGCCCCTCTTGACATGGGGAGGAATTTTGACTCAACCCTGCAGCTTCTTTGTGTGTTATCTCTTCTTGCAGCTGCTCCCCATTTCCTTTCTTTCCTTGTGAGAATTAGAACAGAGAGTCAGCGATGGCTTTCCCATGCTTTTGCCACAAAGTCTGACATTTCATTTGGCCGGGATTCCTTACGTGTTGGCAATACTAGAAGCACATTTTCTCATTTCAGTTTAGCCCATGTCTTAGTTACTTTTCTTGTTGCGGAGACAAAATACCCAGTGCCCAAACTTGGAGGAACAGTTTATTTTAATCACAGTTTGTAGAGGTTTTAGTCCATACTTGGCTGGCCCCACGGCAGGGTGGCATCACAGAGCAGGCAGGCAGAAGGCAGCAAGCTGCAGGTGACCAGTGATGGTTTTTTCTGCCTCCTGTATTTTATCAAGGCTCCCTGCCCTCAGGATGGGTGGCACTCCCAACCTTAATCCTAATAGCACACTGAAAATCAATCAGCGTCATATCTTTGATGCAGCATCACACACCCTAGATCCAGCCTCCTTCGAAAAGTTCCCCCTATGACTGCATTGAGGCTTTGTGGGGTAGGAGGGGATCTAGATACAACCCATAACACCTTGTTTGTCAGAGCCAAGGAAATGTTGCAAGTTATAGTAATGTCCCTTGTTAAATGTTTTGTTTGAATTGTTACTGTCTTTTCTAGGATATATTTTACCTAGTTTAATTTCCCTTTTGTTCTTCATTTTAGACAAAACATGTGGCCAATACCAGATGTCTATCTGAATGAGTTGCTGTAGATGTTACATTGTTTAATAAAATTGTGTTGAATCTAGATCTCTCCCTCCCAAGGCTGTTTTTTTTTTTTTTGCATCATTCTTTTAAATATTTAACTTTTGTGTCCAGTTTTGCTAAATTTATGTTAGCAAATGTGACTGAAATGCATGCAACTCATTAAATTACAAACTGATAGCAATGGCATTTCATATTTTGGGGTGAATTTATATTATTTGGACAATTTCAAGTTATGATAAATATGCCATTTGTAGTGGGAGCTTGGTTAGTTACCTTACTTGAGTTGTAAGACCAATGAGGACTATGGGATTAGAAAGAGAACTAGGGCTTGGGTTCAACTGTGAGTTTTGCTACTTAGATGTGGGTGAATTTGAGCACACTGTTATCAGAGGCTCACTTTCCACTTCTATAAAATGGACACAATACTAGTCTACTAGACTCAAAAGCTAATTATTAGGATCTTATAACACTATGTACATAGTATAAGAAGCCATACCGGTAATCATTGTTCCTTTTCACTCTTTGCCCCCTCATGTTCTTCAATGCCTCCAAGTTTTAGTCTTCAAATCACTTAGCTACCTTGCTTGTGAAAGGAAGAAAGAAAATACGTGAAGGAATGATTGAAAACCTCTTGCAAAGGTCCAGACAGAACCAGTGGTAGAGCAGAAGTCCTGTTTGCACTTACGACGCTCAGGTGGGGGACTGGGAAGAGACGTTCACTAGCCAGCCCACGCTTCCACTACCTTTGCCCCTTCTTGAGGAGCCCTTTGGAAACCCACCACAGGGCTCAAATTTAACTATACAAACCACCGAATTAATGCACACCAGGGCTTCATCAGGTTCACGATGATATGTTTTTATGGATTGTAAGAACCGAGTGTACATTGTTTGCAAAGCTCAGTGCTGAAACTTTTTGTGATGTTAATAGTGAGAGCTTTGTGTGGACTGCACTTCTGAATTTTGTGCAGGACTTATGAAGATTGCAGATTTTGAAATTACACTTATTCGGTATTTAATGTATTTCATTATTCATTAAGCGCTGGACCTCTGACATGTGTCATGCATTGTGAGGGCACAAAAAACTGAGACATATATCCCGGCTCTTTGTAAATACTGATAAATTGGTGTAGAGTTAACAAAAACCTTAGAGAGAAAGGAGTACTCAGATTATGCTTTGAAGAAGGAGAATTCATTTCACTGGATCTAGGAGGGGGAATGGTCACATTCCTGCAAAGAGCAGAGTGTGAGTCAAGGCAGGGATGCACGCACTGGGGTGGTTGCGAGAGCAGAGGCAAAAGCGGTGTGATAAGAGCTGTTTATTGGAGGAGATCGGGGTGAGGGTCTGAGTGCTGGAACCTGAGACTGCTCTGGATTGGTGTAGAGGAGGGGAAAACACTTGGCCTGCAGGCAAAATCCAGCCCAGTGCATGTTTTTGTCCATAAAGTTTTATCAGAATGTGGTCGTGTTTGTTTTGCTTATCCACAGCATTCGCTTACAGCTAGCTGCCCCTGCCAAGCTTCCTATGTATATAGGTGGGCTTTGGGAGTGACTGGATCATGGATGCTTTTCTTCTCGGCTGTACTTTCTTCATTCTTGAAAGAAATTCCTCTTGTTGGTAAAGCTTATATCATATGGTATAGAAGCATGGTTCTCATGGATAATCAGTTGATTCCTCTCCCCACCCCCCACCCCATTCCAAAAAGAATCTAGAGTGGGCTACTTTCTCTAATTGGCAGGTTGTCAAGCACTGACTTGAGTTGGGTTGCTGACACGGTCAGTGTGACATTTTTACTGACATGTCCAAGGATTGCCCAGGGATTGTTTGACATACTGAGAATGGAACTATCTGTCAGGGCAGCTGTCAGCAAGCTTGTAGTAACTTGTAGGTTGAAGCACCCATGGCCCTCCATACTGGCAGGTTCTGCGTCTGCAGACTCAACCAACCCGGGATTGAAAAGGAGCCCTCACCTTGCAAACAGTCCCTTGCATCTACTCTGAATATGTACAGATCTTT